AGAACCAACTTGACAGCATCTAAGAACAACCACCACCACCACTTACCATACAGGGAAGAAAGAGCGGGAGTATGGAGCGGCTCTCTGCCCTGTGCTGTTCTGCCTTTTGGTCTTTCTTTCCAGAAGGTCTAGACCGAGAAGACCAATGGCCAGGCTGTTTCCAGTAGGAGCAAAACCCTTCCCACGCCCTTGCCGCACAGCTTTCCTTTCTTTAATCACGTTTCCCTTGGCAGCCTGAAAGGCTCCTGATCAGTGGGGAGAAACGAAGCCTACATAGCTGCTGAGCTGAAACATGAATCCTGACCACCTCTGTCTCGTTCTATCAATGTGAGTTTAACGCAATAATTGGGGGTTAAACAGAGATGGTTGCTTCTTAAGCAGGTGCTTGAGAATATATTTTTGTATTAGGACATCAACTGTAATATCATATGCAGTGAATGACACATTTGATAAAATGTTGTATTTGGGCATAATCTGCTTTTCAAAGTATACCTTACAAACACTATTAGTGGTTCAAGAAAGTGTGACCATGGTGTGGCGCTATAGGATAAGTACTGGACAGGAAGGTCGGTTTGAACCTCAAGGTTGGCTGTTCAAACTCACCAGCTGCTCCTCGGAAACCCTGTACAGGGTCACTATGAGTCAGAACTGACTCAATGGCACTTAACAACAAGTGATTCAAGAAGGCAATCTGGTGGCACAGTGGTTAAGTGGTCAGCTGCTAACCAAAATGTTGGCAGTTTGAACCCACCAGCATTTCTGCCAGAGAAAGATGTTGGCAATCAGCTCTGTAAAGATTGACAGCTTTGGAAACTCTGTGGGGTAGTGCTAATGTAGTCTGACGTCACCCTGAGTTGGAATTGACTAGATGGTAATGCGCTTGGTTTTGTTTGAGTGATTAAAGGAAGTGCCTTCAATTATAAACAGTTAATGTGCTCGGCTGCTAGCTAAAAGATTAGAGATTCTAGTCTACTCAGAGGCACCTCAGAAGGAAGGCCCGGCAATCTACATCACAAAATTCAGCCACTGAAAACCTATGGAGCACAGTTGTACTCTGACATACATGGCATTGCCGCCACTGGTAGTGAGTGATTCAGGAACCATGCTTCACGCAAGTCTCCATCTAAAGTTTGACAGAACTATTTAGTTGGTTTTTGCTGTTGTTTGCATTGAACCAGAATGCCTAAAGTAGGGAAAGAGTTCTCCATTGTTCCAGAATCCCCTCTTCTACTCAAACAGCCGATTTTACACATGTATCTAGGTTACTTGCTTAAACCCTGTAGCGGATCGAGTTTTCCCTAAGTCAGCCAGAAGTCCTGTGCTAGTCTTCCATGAACAAGAACTAATGGTTGGCACCGCATCCTGTGCAGAAGAGACATTTCCTCACCCCAGCCCCACACTCTCCACAGTATAAACAAGCAGTTCACTGTCCTGATACTTTTCTAAATATGTTGCCGCTGCAGGGCAATCCTATAGGACAGGGTAGAACTGTTCCCTAGGGTTTCCAAGCTTGTAAATCTTTATGGGAACAGACAGCCTCATCTTTCTCCCTTGAAGCTGCTGGTGGGTTTGAACCACTGACAGTTTTTTGTTTAGCAGTCCAACGCTAAACTCACTGCAACATAGGGCCCCTTTATAAACACACAAAGACACATAAATACACATTGGTGTTAAGTACCGTGGAGTTGGTTCCGACTCATAGCAACCCTGCACAGGGTTTCCCAGCTGCAAATCTTTCTCCTATGGAACAGTTGGTAGTTTCGAACTGCCGACCTTGAGGTTAGCAGCCCGATTTGTAGCCACTATGCTATTAGGTGCCATCAAGCTGACCCTGTGTAAAACAGAAGGAAGCCCTGTCTGGACCTGCATCAGCCTCACAGTTGTAGGTCTGTTTGAGACCATTGTTTCAGCCACTGTGTCAACCCACCTCACAGATGGTCTTCCTCTTCTTCACTGAGCCATCATTTGACACACATCCACTCACTGTGTCGTCTCCCTCAGTCCATGAAATAGTTGGTGTCGGGGATGGACGCTGATGTTTGGCCAGAGGAATGGGAGTGAGACAGAATTCTCCTGGTACACACACAGCTCGTGGTCTTGCTATGCTTCTGCTTACTGTGCTCCGCAGAGACTGCGCTTTTCACAAACTGAAGGTTTGTGGCATCCCTGAGTCAAGCAAGTCTATCAGCCATTTTCCAACAGCATGTGCCCACTTTAATCTGTGACACATTTTGGTAATTCTCACAAGATTTCAAACTTTTTCACAATCTTAGTGCACACTTGGGAGTGTGGTAGCTCCCTAAGATAAACACCACCAACAGTCATGAGGTTAGTGGTTTGAGCCCACCAGCTGCTCCAAGGGACAAAGATGAGGTTTTCTGTTCCCACGAAGAGCTGAAAAAAAAAAAAAGCCTCAAAAACACTATACTGCAGAAGTGGAGAAACTTTTTTTTCTGCCAAGGACCATTTGGATATTTATAACATCATTCATGGGCCATACAAAATTATCAACTTAAAAATTAACCTGCTACCGAGGTGCTAGTAAGTCACAAAATAAGAATATAAACAATTTAGCAAACTTTTGCATTTCTGGAAGCCCTCACTCATGAATACCAAGATATTTTGAAAAACGCTTCTTGGACAACCAACTGGAAGATTTCCGTATCTGTGCCCATTCCAAAGAAAGGTGATCCAACAGAATATGCAAATTACTGAACAATATTATTAATATCAGATGCAAATAAAGTTTTCATTTAGATTATTAAATATGGTTACACCATTAAATTGTCAAGAAATTTCCAGAAGTTCAAGTTGGATTCAGAAATATCGTTTTTGATGTCAGATGAATTTTAGCTAAAAACAGAGAATATAAGAAAGATGTTTACCTGTGTCATTTATTGCCTGTGTAAATGCATTCAACTGTGTGGATTATAGCAAACTATAGGTAATATTGTGTGATAGTTAAGGTTTTTTGTTAACTTGGCTTGACCTGGAATGCCAGTGGTTTAGCAATTTACATCATACTGCAAAGTCGTTTGAACTGCAAGGTCGGTGGTTCAAGCTCACCAGCTGCTCCTTGGAAACCCTATACAGGGTCGCTATGGGTCAGAATCGACTTGACAACACTTAACAACAGCAATCCCCCACGATGACATATAATGTACTTCATCCCTAATGGGATCTGTTGTGATCAGCCCTGATCTGATTATCCTATATTGTATAAATCCTCACTTCTATGTTAACCAGACTGGATGCAATCTACTTGTTAGGCTGGATCAATAAATAACATTATAATAAACTGTGAAAACATTAGCCTGCTATAATGTGATGGCTAGAACTATAGTTGCCTTGAAAAATCAAGATCAAATGAGTTTGTGGGCCTTATACGTTCCCCACACCTGCTGTACAGGGTCATTAGGAATCAGAACCAACTTGACAGCATTTAATAAAAGTCATAATAGACCACAGAGTAGTCTCATCATAACTTTCACAGGCACTGAGGAACCAGAAAACCTCATGTGGTCCACTTTATTATAATATTCACTTTATTGCCATGGTCTGGAACCAAACCTGCCATATTCCCAAAGTATGCCTGAATCACATTTGTACCGTTTGAAATGGGTACCAGTTTCATCAAGAATCTGCTTGGAGCACTCCCTGGAATTATAAAGCTGCATCTTAGAGTCTAGCTCAAATGTCCTCTTATGTGCATCTGTCTCATTCCTCCAATCACTTTCGTTTTTGTGCTTTCAACCCATCCTTCTCGAGTCTAGACCCTTAATCACAAGACAGCTAGAGCCTGACTCATTGTCAAGTGAGTTGTGGAGGCTAGGACAAGATGTCAGGTATTTATTTATGTAATTCTAAATTGGAACCATGAAAGCATAGTGGATTGTAAACTGGACTGCTAACTTGCAAGGCCAGCAGTTCAAATGTACCAGTCACTCCAGAGAAGCAAGATGAGGCTTTCTTCTCCCGTAAAGATTTACAGCCTCTGAAATCCTATACAGGATCGCTATGAGTCGAAACTTACTCCACGGCACACCACCACCACCACAAGTCTAAGTAAAGATTATAGCTGTATTTGCTCAACAGAATCTACCTACGGCCAGGCATCCCAACTCTTCCCAACTTAAGGCTACCATTAAAGTTAGCTTTCACTGAATTCACCTATCACAAGAGTAGCAGGTGAAGGATCACACTGGGATTTTCACTCGTCTCTGAGCATGTAGTGGTCAGTGGTGGCTGTGTGCCATCAAGTCGATTGCCACTCTTAGTTTCCCTGGTGTAATAGTGACCCTGTGTAGGGTTTCTGAGGGTGTAAATCTTTATAGGAGCAGAACGCCTCATCTTTCCCACAAAGAGCAATTCAAACTGCTGATCTTGTCATTAGCAGTCCGGCTCAGATCGGCTAAGCTACCGGAACTCCTTGGTGGTGGTGGTGGTTATGTGTCGTGGAGTCGGTTCCGAATCATAGTGACCCTGTACAGGGTTTCCGAGGCTGTAAATCTTTACAGGGGCAGAAAGCCTCATCTTTCTCCCACAGAATAGCTGGTAGTTTCTAACTGCTGACCTTGCGGTTTCGCAGCCCGATTCGTAACCACTACGCTACCAGAGCTCCTGAGGACTCCTTGGTAGTGCTGCCCCATCGGACTTTGGTGATGGGAATGGTCTCGACTTTCTCTGACCAAGAAACTGAGTACAGGGTCGGTATGAGATCGCTGTGAGTAGGAACCGACTAGATGGCACTTAACAACAACAACAACCCAATGTGGACATTGAGCACTAGGAATGTGGAGGGTATCCCTGAGAAGCAGGAGTTTTCATTGTATTTAAACAGCCCTATGTGGTCAGAGGCTAATGTATTGAACAGCTTGGTTTTCTAGAGCATTCTTCCTCAGGGGACAGGCCAACCCAGTGAACAATAGAGCCTTTTCACATATTTAACTTTCAAGACATTAAACACAAAGCAAGGCCAGCAGAGGTATCTGGTTCTAACATAAAAATTCCGTTTATTTATCTATTTATGACACAGTACACAAGAGGCAAAGTGTTTCACATCATAGATTTCACTTCCAACTCCTTGGAATGTTCATTTCTTTGGCTGAAAAGAGAGACTTGCCAGGAAAGCTGGGCAATACTTAGGCCACTAAAATAAGAGGGGCTGAGGGTGGGCAATGCTAAACAGCATCTTCGGAGGGATGGGTCCAGGAGCTGTTAATCGCAAGCTGATTTTCTAGCTCTGTTAGCTACAAGCAGAGGGAGCAGCAGTTCTGGAGGCTCCTGCCGTGTCTGGCTTCAGTCATCTCCGCCACACAGGTAAAGCAGTGCTTTCTGGTAGTCGCCCTTGGTGTCTTGCTACAAATCGACAAGGAGAAAAAAAGAAAAGAACTCTAAGGGAAATGACAAATCTCAGCAATAACAAACAAGCTGGCCACTCCCAGCCTAAAACAAAGGCAAGACCTTGCAGGATTCCTGGAGATGCATAGGCAGATGCAAAGGCCACATTCAAACCACCTTCACACCAAGCCTGTGTGGAAAGTGGGCAGGGGAGGTGCCTTGTAGAGACTTGCAAGTTTCATTGCTACAGAAAGGGTAGAGGTATTAAAATGTCCTGCAAATGCCATCACTTTTCCCTCTCTCACCCTTCTTCCGGAAAGGACAGGGCTCTTTAGTGCCCACTACGCTGTTGGGTAGCATCTTTGTGCCACGTGATACTAGCTAATAAGGAATAAAATTTGTTCCTAAACTCTAAATACCTGCCCTAATACACCCATCTACTACAAACTATCTCTAAATTCTTGGTAACAACTGACAGTATCTTTGGACATTTTTAAGATCTTTTCTAAACGGAAATTGTAAAGCTCATCTGAAGTGCACACAGAGGTACTCAAACGGAACTAGCATGCAATCATTCCTTCTACACAATGCTCCGCCTATCCAAAACAGACAGAAACTTAAATTGGTTGTGGAAGAGATGGAAGTTCCCAGGCTGCGTAACTAAAAATTGCCAAGACTATCACAGACAATTTTTTAAGAGCTAGAAATATTAAAACGTGAAAGTTAACTGATCTTTAACGCCTCTTTGGGATGTAGCCAGGCTTGAATGATCATCACTTAACCAGTCCTCATTATGAATAACACAGTTGGGAAATACAAAAGATTTGCCTCATTCTATAGTGGTTCCAGTACAAATCATCAAGGGTGTTTTCAAAAGAAATCCCTGATATTCAATAACTAGCAGCTCTTCCCCAGAGAGTAAACAGCAGTAAATCCCCATTCTGTGACCACCCCGAGAAGCCACCTTCCCAGAACCCCAGGGCCTATGGACGGCAGGGCAGGGCCCACGGGACCTACCTGGATGTAGTAGTACAAGGATTTGCCGTACTTCCTCTTGAATTCAGACCTAATTTTCAACATGTCCACTTCACTGCGGGAGACCATGGTCCTAATCAGGACCTTATCACGAGTACCCTTGCCCTGAAAGTCAAGTTGATGTTTCAAATTACAATTCACTAAAAACATCATCCTAGTAAAAACATCTCCTCAGTGTTTCCTTGCATATGGAACTGATCTAAGTTCTTCTGCGCTGCCCTCTAAGAGATGGCAAAGATAATACGGAAACTGGTTCCAGTATGAACACACTGGGATCCCAAATACTTGAGGACTAAATGTGCACAATAATGCACATTAAGTGGGCAGTGAGCACCCCCGGGCAAAGCTCACGTCAAGGATGTTTACTCAACATAAGATGCCCACTTCTCAAGGACATGCACCAGCGCTTTGTCTCACTGTGACTCTCCACCATCTTAAATGGTCTGAGCAGTGGGAACCACTGGATTTACTTTCCAAGCCTCACACTGGAGGTTCCGAGGAGGGGTCGTTTGACATGGAGGATGGGGTGAGACAGATGGGGAGGTGGCTCAGGAATTGGCCAGGGCATGGAAGCCAGAGGCATGGAAGTCTACTTGTTGTTGTTGTTATGTGCCATTGAGTCGGTTCCGACCCATAGCGACCCTGTACAGGGTTTCCAAGGCTGTAAATCTTTACAGGAGCAGAAAGCCTCATCTTTCTCCCATAGAACAGCTGGTAGCTTCGAACTGCTGACCTTGCGGTTCGCAGCCTGATTCGTAACCACTACGCTACCAGAGCTCCTTAGAGGTCTGCTTGGGACGTGGGAAATGGAATGAGTTCATGGGAAGAGCAAACCAACCAACAAAATACTCATAATCGTTGAGTAGATTCCACATGGGGTCTCTGTCATAATGATCCTATAGGACAGAGTAGAGCTGCCCCCATAGGGTTTCCAAGGCTGTAATCCTTACAGAAGCAGACAACCACAGCTTTCTACCGTGGAATACCTGATAGGTTTTAACTGCTGACTTTTCAGATAGCGCTAGACCACTGTACCAACAGGACTCCTTTATGTGGGTGTGGCCCATTTAAAGTTAACAAGTCCAGGAAGTTCAACTGGGAACAAAGAGTTTTTGTTGTTGTTATGTGCCGTCGAGTCGGTTCCGACCCATAGCAACCCTGTATAGGGTTTCCGAGGCTGTAAATCTTTATGAGAGCAGAAAGCTTCATCTTTCTCCTGCGGAGCGACTGGTAGTTTCAAACTGCTGACCTTAAGGTTTGCAGCCCGATTCGTAACCACTATGCTACCAGGGAGGGCTTTAAATAGTGGGCCAAGGAATCTAAACTTTGGGAGACAGCGTAGTAAGACTAGCTTTGGAGTCCAATAGACCCAGGTTCAGATCTGGCTACAGATACTTTCACAATCTAAACCAAAGAATAATATTGGTCGCATAGGGTTCTTGTCATGATTTTATGGGATCATCCATGTAAAATGCGTAGCATAATGTCTATGGCATGTTGTTGTTTACTATCAATGATTTCAACTCATTGAGACCCCATGTGACAGAGTGAAACTGTCCCCTAGGTTTTCCTTGGCAGTAATCTTTACGGAAGCACATCAACAGGTCTTTCTTCCACGAGTCACCAGGTGAGTTCAAACTGCTCACCTTTCAGTGAGTAGCTGAGCACTTTTTAACCATTGTACCTCTAGGGCTCCTTCATCTACTGCAGAGCGGTTGCATCATGATCTCTCCCTTCCTTGTTTGTCTTTACTCTGGGAATCCGAGGAGGGAATCTTTGAAAAGACTTGAGCAGGAATCTGATATTATTGCTAGCTACCATTGGCTCTCTTCCACGGCACTTTATTTTCTATGTGTATACAAACATGTGTTCAAGGGGTTGTGCAGTACATGACAGGTTTGGGGTTTTCTCATCTGACATACAATCACAGTCGACTTGATATTCGGGTCCTTTCCTCAGTCCATTAGTCAGTACTTTCTCCAAAATGTCACAGGACACCTGCAGTGGATCTTGAATGGAGGAAAGCCTGGTGTGGAAATGCTGGCCTCCCAACCAAACACCCTTACCTTCATGGAGTCATACAGCCGGTCAGCAAAGTACAGGGGCTTGTTCTGGATGCACTGGACTGTTGAGAGAAGGACAGGGTCAAGGGGGCAGCTCCTCCTCTCTCCTCTACAACAGAAAGGGGCTGAAAACTGGAAAAGGCTCAGAGGAAACTGGAAACCCTCCAAAATGCTGTGCACCACTGTGGTTTCAAACCAGGAGACTCAAGGGTTGCAGGAACTGCAGGGCAATGTGAGTTTCACCAAAAGAGCCCTTTCCTCTCTTAGCTTGTTCACCCTGGTAACGCTCCATTCTACTACATTCTTTCATTTCACACCATCAAAGTTGTGTAACTGGGTTTATAAAACTACCGAAGTTATGCGTGAAGACATAGCGCCCCAAGCATATTTGAGTTCACAAAGTGATCGCTCATGTTTTCAGTTTTAGCAAAAACTGATGACCACTCGGGGTGCACGGGCCATGGTTGCTTACCCAGGTTCAGGAAAGCATTTTCCAGGTCTCCTTTGACTTCCTTCTTGATGCTCTCCAACATGTCATAAGGACTGTAGCTCTTGTACCTTTCAAATACTAAGGGGAAGTAAAAGATCATTAGAATAACAGAGCCACTGGTCAAACCTTCCAATCACTGATAACAGAGAAGGATGATCCCAGCATTCTAGAAAGTTAGGGCTGCCATGGTACACTACAGCCAACATTCCTCCAGTTTACCCTGAAACAGCCAACAGACAGACCTCTTACATAAGCTGTCTCCCCTGAGTAGACCCCATTGTATCTGGAAGGCATGAGAAATAGCATACAGCACCCAGAAAAGTTACTACATCCACAAAAATGGTAAACTAAAATTATCCCCAAATAAGAAAAGGCAGAAAGCTCAACTACATACCAAACACAGAATATATTCTGGGGATGGAAAATGAGAGGGAATGTGAATGGACTTGGTGGGCCGAAGAGAATGCAGAGGGGAGAATCAACTACGCCCCAGCAGACGCACCTGCTCTGCCCGGAGCTCTAAGCTCTAAGTCATCACCATAGCACCTACCTTTCTGAAGGTGGCACACACTCCGTTCAGTCATGATGCTAATCCACTTGGGAACATCAGTTCCTTTCCTCTTCACTCCGGCATCATAGAGATCCTATGAGCAGAACCAACCAGAAAAGTTCACTAAAGGATCCAGAGGAAGGTAGTGAAAAAAAAAATGGAGGTAAAAACCAAACACTGACTAAGCTAGGATTTGCAGCTGAACAAGACCCCTTCTTGCTTGTCTCCTTCCAACAGATCTCCTCAACACCATGAGCCTTCTATTTCTGAAGCAGTAATGCCTTTGACCAAGGAAGCCAGGGATCCCTGCCCTCTCACACTGAACTTCAGAGCCTCTCCTGACAGGGCCAAGAGTCTACAAAACAGCACCTCCAACTTCTTGGAAAGAAGCTCTGTCAAGTCACCGGGCTTGGAGAAGCCCAAGGGCCTAACAAGGTTCCAGTCCTTGGTCCACCTGGTAAAAGGCAACATGTGTACCAGGATCCTGGAGCCCTGGCCATAAAGAACGCAGGCATCCTGACGGACCCACTCAGCGTGCTGGCAAGCGGCTTCGTGGCCTGCCACTGCATGTGCATCCTGACCCGGTGTGCCCAGCACTTCTGTCACAGGCTTAACAAGCCCTTTATGGACTATGAGGATACAGTGATGCATGGACTAGAATCCAGTCCCAGCTCCTGGCTCCGGAACCATGCCTCCTGGGGAAGGCGTAATATGACAACTTCCTTACAGTCACCCAGCTGGCTTTCTGCTGTGTGTATGTTGTGTTTCTGGCTGACAATTTAAAGCAGGTAGAGTTTTCTAGACAAGGTGGGAGGGCAGAGGACAAGTAGCAAAAATGTACTATTTAGGACAAAAGTCTTAATCACAAGCAATCTTCCTTGGGCACAGAGAGATACAGTATGGGACAGTATCTGTCGGTTTTCATGGTGGATACTGTTCCAATCTCCTTCCTTGAACAGGAAAGGACCATGAGCTTCTATTCACATAAGAAGAGTAAATAACTGTTCCTCGGCACATCTGGCCCGCTCCCTTGTACTCGTACACTAGCCAGTGATCATCCACAGAAGACAGACAAGGCAGGCACCAGCGCTCAGACTTGGTAGAGACTCAGGAAACCACGGAGCTGGAAGGGTAACTACTCCAATCTCAGTTCCAATTCTGGAAACATTTGGAGCTGTGGTAGCTGTGTGGGTTCAGCGTGGGCTGCTAACCACAAGGTTGGTTTTTCAAACCCACCAGTCACTCTGTGGGTGGAAGATAAGGCTGGCTGCTCCCAGAAAGAACCCACCGGGGCAGTTCTACTATGTTCTACAGGGTCCTTAATGGGTTGGAATCGACTCACCAGGCAATGGGGATTTGGGGTTTGTTTTTTCATAGGTAAGACTAAGAATGACAGGGAGGAAGCGAAGAAGAAAGCTTTATACAAGGGTAGATACTCATTGAGTGCTTTCTCTGACCTTCTGAGAAAGGATCACAGTTCACAGCAGTCTGAATCAATTTCAAATAGTTCTCAGTTATCACAGAAATGTTGCTGGTGTTGTTAAGCACCGACGAGCTGGTTAACAAGGAGCAGCTGGTGGGTTTGAACCGCCAACCTTGTGGTTCACAGTTTAGTGTTTACCCTCTAGTGCCACACCAGGAGTCCATTACAGAAGCTTGACTAGCAAACATTCTATTCAGCCAGAAAAGAAAGACAGGCCTCCGTCACTCTTGTCTCCTTGCACAATGGAGCCCTAAGCTTCCCTGTGCCTGGCGATATCTTCCGCACTTTCTTCTGCTTCTCTCTGTTGCTTGCTCTCCAAATGTTCATTTGAAACAAATGCACCCAGCTGCCCAGCCCTATCACAGCCTAAGGAAACTGGTACTCCTATAAGGAAAGCCTGAATGAGCTTATGGGAGTCAGACACTGAGCCTATGATCCACATCAGCATCCGAAAAGAAGTAGCTTATAGTAAGTTCAAGGGGGCTTCCAAAAGTTTATGAAAAAATGAAATTAAAAGATAGTATGATTATCCAAGAACTTTTTGCAGCCCCTGGTATTGTTCCCGAATGCGAAAGTATAACTCATATTCTCAGACCGTGAAATATGCCCACACATGCTTTGACATTCCTTCCTCGCAGTGAAGCCTAGTTCCTCTCCCACTGACTGTGGGTAGACTTGGTGACTCTCTTCCAGCTACCAAATAGGATAAGGCAGAAATGACGGTATGTGACTACTAAGATTAGTTCATAAAAGCACTGTGGTTTCCGCCTTTATTTCTCTCCTGGATTACACACTCTGGAGGCAGCCGGCTGCCATGTTGTCACGAAACTCAGCAACGCCACAGAAAAGCACACGTGGTAAGAAGCTAAGGTCTCCTGCCAAGAGTCATGCATGTGGACCATCTATGGCAGCCTTGACCAACATCTTTACCATCTCACAGATGACTCTGACCCAGAATCCCACAGCCAAGACACTCCCAAATTCCTGACCCTCTGTAGCATAAAAGCACTGGACTGCCAACCACAAGGTCAGTGGTTCAAGCCCACCAGTGACTCTGCATGAGAAAGATGAGGCTTTTTGCTCCTGAAAAGATTTACAGCCTCGGAAATCCTATACAGGAACACTATCCATCAGTACCGACCCGATGGTACTCAACAACAACAAAGCTGGGGGTTAATGTGTTACACAGTAACACACAAGATGGCTTCGGTCCAGGCTATCCGGAGACTAAGTAGAAGACAGAATTTCAAACCACTTACCCGGGCATCTTGATCAATCAGCTCATAATCAATAACTGAACCATCTTCGGCTCTTCTACCCTACAAGCAAAAAATAAAATTAAGAACATAATCAAATTTATTTCTTTGTATAATTAAAACACCAGGACCTTAGTGGTGTAGCTGGTTATATGTTGGTCTGCTAACCCCTGGTCAGCTGTTCAAACCCACCAGCCACTCCTCAGGAGAAAGATGAGGCTTTCTGCTCCCGTAAAGATTGGCAGTCTCAGAAATCCTCTATGGAGTGTCTATGTGTCAGAACCAACTCAACAGCACACAACAACAACAAAATGGAAAATGGAAACCGCTATTTAACATACTGAAAAAACAACACTTCACTTTAGAAACTTAGGCATGACCAAGGAATGGTAACATAATGGACGTAGTGTCCTGGGGAGTTGGACATCAACACCATCGACCCCTCCTTCATCCAGTCCTGGGCTAAGACCTTACAGAATCCACTCCCACTCCAAATAAAGGTGCACAACATTTAGTCCCTTCCCTCAGAGAATTTGCAATCCAGATGGAGAAATATTCGTGGAACAAATGGTAGTACAATACAGTCATCTGTGGCACTAAGAAGAGATGAAATGCAAAACAAGGGAAAAATCAACTTTAAGGGAACGTTCAAAGATGAGGCAAATGAGGTAGAAAGACATCCTACACAAGAGACGTAGCACAGGCAGTGGCAGAACACTCTGGAAGGTTTTGGGCCACCCAGATGGAGCAGAAGGTGAGCCATGGAGAATGCTAAGGAAGAAGATTAGGTTAGAGAGGAGGGCTAGGGTCCAGATGATGCTCACAGATGACTGACGTGTGGATCTGAGGCAGCAGGGGAGTGGAATGGCGTGAGTGGATGGCAGTACCCAGGAAGGGAGTGAGCTGAAGAGCTGAGAGCTGGAGAGAATGGCGTGAGAGTTGTTACCCTAACGGAGCTGTGAGGGAGCCACTCAACAATCCTGCCCTTAAGGAGAAAACAAAACGTCTCTTCCCTCCCCTGGTCTGTAAGTGTCCCGCTACTATTTGGAAGGTTGGTAGTCCATGGAGAAAGCTGTGCAAAACTGCTCCCACCAAGATTACAGGGGCATTACTTTGTCAGATGAGGTCACCAGAAGTCAAAATCAACTCCGCGGCGCCTAATGACAACGTTGTGGTTTTCATTAAGTGCTGTGGAGTCAGTTCTGACTCACAGAGAGCCTCTTTAGGGTTTCCGAGGAGCAGGCTGTGGGCTTGAACTGCAGTCCAGTTCTTAACCACTGACACGTAGGCATGAGACTGCACAGTGAACAGAACTCAGAAGGGAAATGTCTTTCATCCATTCTCTGTGTGAACGCGAGCTGCCCAAAAAACCCCACCTGCCGGCAGCCACAGGACAGCATGGACACCTCCCCTAAGAAGTGAGGCAGGAGAGTGAAACAAGTCACTGTCTGCAGGTTCCTGTGTAGCCACAGAGAGAAGCCAAGAGCCTTCTCCACGCCATGGCGGAGAGCTGCCACCTAAATCCAGGTCAGGATCTGAGAGTTGCCTCCTCCTGGCCTGGCCTCCAAAGTCCATTTGTCCATGTGGTTTTGTAGGATAAGAAATCCTATTACCCAAAAAGGACAACTCTGCAGTATGGTGCAAATCCACAGTTGGAAATGCATCTCAATTCCCAACACAGGCACAGAGGATTTAGTGAACTCGTTCCCAAATATGAAATGAGGCCTTGAGAAGAAGCAAACACAAAGTAAGAAAGAGCAAGACCAACCTTGGCGAGGGCAACCATCAGTTTGCGGAAGTCACCAGATGTGTCCGAAACAATGTCCTTCTCCAGGTCAGTCTTGTACACTTGGAAAACAGCACATATGGTTTTATGCTCGCTGCCTGTGCACCCAACTACCTACCCACCCCAATGATGGCCCCCCTCACTAAGACTGAAAGTCTGGGTCAACAATGGATGAGATATATCCTTAACCCCAAAGGGAGGGTGGACTCTCTAGAAGGATTTTTGCCTTCGTGAAATGAGTCCATGTTATTACCAGTACAGAAGGACAGACAGAGCTGAGTCAATCCCTGGTTTCCAAACGTATTGACTATGAAGACTCATTTGAACATAAAATCTGGAGGGCTCTGCACACATTTCCACATGCATGTTAGTGTGCCTTTTTTGGGTACTGATTGAGACCGTATACAATGGCCAAAGGCGGTCCCCTGGACAGTTAAGATGGAGTTATTTCTGCAGCTAAGCACTCAGCTGCTAAGCAAAGGTTGACAGTTCAAACTCAACCATCAGCTCTGTGAGGAAAATACCTAACAGTCTGTTCCTGTATAAATCACAGCCTAGATACCCCTCTGGTCACATGGAGTCGCTAGGAGTCAGAACTGACTCCACAGCACCTAACAACAGAACATCATTCCTTAGGCATCCTCTCCTAACACTCGTCCAGGCTGCCATAGCAGAGCCACAGAAAGTGAGCCGAAAGGATTGATCCCAGAAATGGGGATACTCACTTTCTTTGTAGACTCTGTTAATTTCCTGCAGCTCCTGATTGGTCCTCGAGCAGATGATCTCAATGAGGGAGTCCTCATCGGTCCCCAGCCCCTGTGAGTTAAGCATAGCATGGCAGTCAGTGGAGACAAGTTCTCCTCACGATGACCCTACATCTCTGATCCCCGTCAAGTAAATGGCAAACATGGATAAGACCTGTTAGCCTGCCTCAATGCTACAGGAGGGGGCTTCCAAAAGTTCGTGGAGAAATTCTGTGATCTCGTCATTCCATGTTTACACAAACCTTTTGAAACCTCCTTGTATTCCTCAGTAGAAAGTAATGCTATTTTCTATGCCTTAAAAACAACAAAACACGTAGCCAGAATACAAAATGGTATCCATGGAAAGTTAGAGCTCAAAATGTTTTAAAAAAGTGAGTCAGAAGAGAGAGAAATGAAATTTACAACAATATTAACAGCAAGTGCCTTTTTTTTTTTTTAATCCTTTATTGTGCATTATGTGATAGTTCACATGGGAGGCCATCAGCTTCACATTAATCCCGTCACACATCGTTTCCTTGCCATGGTTACAATCCCCTCCCTGCATCATCGACCAACCAAAGGTAAAGCCCGTAAGCCTGCCCCCCTGTCGTCCGCATACCGCCCCTCTCCCTCTCCAGGTCCAGTCTCCAGCCGCTCCATCTCCCCATGCCATCATCTCTGCCTCCATCCCTGGCACCACTGCTTCACTGGATAGGTTTCTGTTCTTTGCTCTTCTCCTTCAATGGTCCCAGGGACCTCCACTCCTAGACTGTAAGGTTAATTACTCCCCCTCCCTTCTCCCCAAAACATCCACCTTTACATTTCCAGCCCTTACAATCAGTCCTGATAACAAGTATTTGCGATTGTATTGCAAGGGACTTATCTGCATTTCCTTTTATCAGCCCTGACTAGGCAGAATGTATACTACTCAGTGGAGATTCCACCTTGCTCCACGCCCTCTGAATCTCGGTTCCCTCTTGAAAGCTTGTAAGCCAGTCACTTCTTGCCTCTGTAACCCCCCCATTCTGGGTAGCCAATGTCCAAGTTGCCCATCCCTGTCCTCTCTGTGTGTGGTGAGGTGGGAATGATCCTCCCTGTGACGATTTGTTCACTCTTTTGAGCTATTGCTTCCATAGGTATATGTCAAGTTTCCTCTTCTTTCGTCTTCTGTTTGAGCTCTGATCATCCAGCCATTTTGGCCAAGTCAAGTGGGTATTATCTGCAAGTGTGGGTGTTCTTATGCATGTGCCCTCTCTTCTTATCAGCTGGATGCTTCACTCTTCACTCTAGTCCTCTGTGGCCATGTCGCTGTCTCTGGGTCTAAGAGTCCCCTGGACTTGACACACTGCTGGCCGACCAGATCTCCATCTGGGTTCACAGGAGTCTATTGAGTGTTGTAGGGCTTACCTCATAGCTAAAAGCAAGTGCCTTTAGCTGATGGGTTTCTAAGTGGAGGAGATTTTTTTTCTTCTTCCAATTTTCTATTTTCATATTGGAGGGACCAGTTACTGGAGAAGGATATCATGTGTAGAAGAAAAAGAAGGCCCCCAGCGAGATGGATTGGCACAGTGGTGACAGTGATGAGCTCAGGCCTAGCGACAACTGTGAGACTGTCCCAGGACCAGGCAGTGTTTCGTTCTGTTGTGCACAGGGTTGCTATGAGTCGGTGCCGACTCAATGACACCTAACTACTAACTATAATGATCGTGCAACTATTTTTTCTTTATTTTAGAAGATGAGAAGTGATTTTCTCCATTAGAGAATTCTTCTAATTTAAAACAAAGGAATATAAAAATTTTATGTTGTCATTTGCAGCCAGCATCGTTAGCTGAGAATAAGCCTTTTTATCAGGGAAAGGTATAGATAAACATAAAAATTTTAGCTTCAACTCCTTTGAAATGTAAAATTGAGTTAATGTTAAAATTTTCATTCTTACACTTTTGCGTGATTATTATGCACCCTTCAGGCATTTTAAGGAAGCAAAAGGAAATAATGCAATGCCAGATAAATGTAGACACCAACACTCTATTAAGGAATCCGAATTTAATGGGTGATGTATTCAAATTTAATATATACACTTTTGAGTGTGCTAGATAGCATGAAAGGACTGAATGAAACTTACATTTCAAAGCTAGTTTCATGATCAAAGTCAAGATTTAATAATCAGGATTCTCTAATTCTTGTCTTTCTGAATATGGAAATACCACTTTGAACTAAGCAGAATTACAACTGTTTAAAATGTAAATCAATTATAAGGTGTTAATGCAATAAGAAACTTACTTCTCCACAAGAAAAGTGTGTCAGCTATTAATTAAACTTATTAAGAGTTTATATGCTCCCTGAAATAATGGTTTGTGTAATATAAGCTAAGCCTGAGGTCAATAGTTAATTTTGAATTTTATTCTTAATCTAATCTGTGAGCTAATGTCTCTTCTTCTAGAGTCTTTAATCATGATTTGTAGATGTTCTGACAAAGCCAAACCTCCTTGTTAGCAAAAGGTCTATACAACATGCCATACAAATGTGATAAAATGACTATCAAATATCTTCGGAGGCGGGGAGCTGGGGGACAGCTCTTCAATCTCAAGGTTGATGGAAATACAGTCTAAAAATAGTTCATGCCTTGAAAGAAATGTTATATCTTGACATTATAGCAACGTAAGACAAGGTATAGCAGTGCACACATTTTCTTCCTTCCATCAAGGACTTGTTCAGTGCTGTCGAGTCGGTTCCGACTCACAGCAACCCTGAACAGCTTGCGGTTCAAACCAACTTTTCAGGCCAGTGCTTAGCCAACACCGCCACACCAGGATTCCATCAGGGACATACTGAGGCTAATATATGAGAATTCAAAGTGGTCTGATTACTATATTCAAAGGTGACTTTGGCAATTTCCAAAGCTTGGCCGATGCTACCCACAGACTACCCACCATTCCTAGCTCAAGAACTACCTCTGCTGTAACATAAGGTGCATACTGTATGTCACTGCTTTTGCCAGAAGTCAAAACAGGTTTGTTTGTTTTTTTAAACCATCACTCAGTTAATGTCACTCTGAGCTTTATGGATTCCAGAAGGCTACTTAACTGTGATAGCTAATGGAAAAGCTGGCACAAGGTCAAAGATTTAGCAGTAAAAGCACCTTTCACTGGGGCCAGCGACACATTCCAGCACTGACTGGCAGCTCCAACAGTTTCTTTCAAGTCATTAATACCTAGTAACAGATACTCATAAAATCACAGGAATCACAACTAAACAGGTTCTTGACGAAGATGAGATGAACTGATCTGAGGTGTTGATGGTTCCGAAGAAACCTCCGAGAGGGCAGCTCATCTATGGCCCTAAAGTTCTCAAGACTGTTTTCAGGAGTGTTATCTTCATCAAGGCAGATTATTAAGTGTTGTTGACAGTTTCGCATACTTAATCATACTAGGAGACACTGAGCAAAGCGTGGGCGAAGCTGAATAACGGAAGAAACAAAGAGCATCCACAACAAACCTTTCAGCTGCCCTGAACTATCAAGTTCGGGGCGCTGCAAACGCTCAGTGTATGAATGAAGCTGCCTCACTCTCAAGATACTCTCTGGGGAAAGGAGTGACAACTGGACTGTAACATTAGCTCTGGTGGCAGGTTTACAGCTTGGTCTCTTCATAATTCAGAACAATGGCATCCAAGGAAATGTACTCAGATTACAAGAACTAAAATCAGAAACACGGCTTTTCTCCAATAACTTTAAAGGCTTTACCATGTTGTGCCAGCAGAGGGCAGTATCAGATTATTCAAAAGGTTGCCAGGCACTCTACGGAAAGGCTTTATATACTTTGCAGAAATATGCCTCTATCTGCAATGCTATACTATGTGGTGTTTTAGATATGCACATAATTCAAGGAATTCCTAACCTGGAGTTTTGTATTATCTCATTTAACTTTGGATTCCACGTTCATTCGTAACTTTGCAAAAACATAAAAAATAATTATGGGCTCCCAATAACAGTACCATTGATTTAAGACCACCCCAATGATGGTTCTGCACTTGGATGTTCTGATTTTGCCCAAATTTGAACCAAATAAGACTGAGAGAAGGTCAGGAGAAGAAATGTCCACAAAACATGGGCAAGATTTGCAAGCTTCATTTAACAAAAACCCTGTTTTACTTTTGCCTTAACATTACAACATATCTTTTAAAAGGAGGAAACGCAATCAAGGAAGTAGTTTTCCAAATGGTATTCCGATTGCCCAGGTGCCAAGCAGTAGCAGCTGGTAACTGACTTCTCAGCATCATGAAATTTTTTTACAGCTTTTTTTTTTTAAGTAATTGAAATATTTTTGGTACAAATCCTGAAATTTAGAGCTTCAGTACATTAAAAAAAAAAAAAATGGTACCAAACGAGAGTTCCACAAAACTAAAAATCACCTAATTACACTCAGAAAGCTGTAATTCATGGATATTAAAGGCAGATTTGACAGAGATTCAATCTCACACGTGTTTACCTTCATGGAGGCTTTCAGCTCGGAAGCGTCATACTGAGCAGGTGTTTTCAGTAGGCCCAAAATCACTGTCTCCAGGTGGCCAGACAAGGCTGACTTCAGGGCTGATGCAAGTTCCTGTAGAAAAAGGCAGATAATCACATGGAAAACTTGGTCAGCCGCCAATATTCACTGTAAAATTGGTGCAGACAACAAAAAAGTAACAAGAGTCTGTTTATAAAGTTGGTTGTGATTCTTCCACCACGCTAAGGTCTTGGGTCAAACTATCCCTCGAGTGTATTCCCATCAGCAGAACTAAAGATGAGACTTCCTTTAACAAAACCACTTAAAACCCAAGCAGATGTTTCCTTCTCCCCCAAAGTGCACAGATCCTGAAAATGCCCAGGGGGTCTGAAGATCCTTATCTCAGCATGTTTGAAGGTCTTAATGCCGGGTGGAAGGCAGGGCCCTTCCTGGGTTCCCCAGTCCCTGCTAAGAAGGAGGTGGTTGGAATAGACGGCCTCTCGTTGGAGAAGCAGAGCCCTCGGGCCTTTGCATGGCCTTCTGTGAGATGTTTATCCTAGAATGGCTTTGGAATATTTTCAGAAGGAACCAATGGCCCTGAAATGGCCAGAAGGGGAGTACTGAAGTTGTGTTTGCAGAACACTTCATCTAAGACTGAGAATACTTCGATTTGTCCTAACCAAATTGGGGTGGTATTGATAGGAATGGTGGGGGAGTAAAGGCCCCCAATCAGACCCTTGACTTTGCCATAAGATTGTGAGTCAGAGTTCCAAGTAGACACCCTTACAAATACACAGATACCTCAATGTGGCTTTTAAAGATGCTTCCTGAGGGATTAAACTTCCAGAAGACACGGGCAACCCATAGTGATCACTGATGTCTCCTATTATAATTTTCTTCTTTCTTTTGGCTTTTTCCCCTTAACTTTCTCCCCTGTCTTCCAACAGCATCCCAAGGCATTTGCAACATTTAGTCCTTTAAGATACTTGCAGGCTATAAGAGGGAACTTGCAACTTGCCTCAGAGAGTGTCTTCTCGAATCATTCATAGATGTTAAGAATATTAGAAATGCCACTGATTTTAGAAATCATCTGGCCCAACCCTTTATCCACCTTCTTTAGATAATTTCTTAAGCTCCAGTAACACACAGCACTTACAATGGGATGTTAAAATTAACACCTCCCAAATATACCATCAATGTTCCAATTTGGAACTTTGAGGTTACCTAGTTCCAAACTTAGCCTACACGTGATACTGTCCTCTACCATTTTCATGCCCCTAACATTTGCTCAAACCTCAAATATCATGTGGACACCTACTGATTTCTTCTTAGGGAAGTAGAAGCTACAAACTCCTTGTTATTGTATGGCTCATAGCGACTCTGTATAGGGTTTCCAAGGAGCGACTAAGTGAGCTTGAACCATCGACCTTGCAGTTCAAACCAACTTTGCAATCTGGTGCATTAACCCACAGCGCCACACCAGGACACCTTCAAATTCCTGGTTCTCAGAGCTCTGTAGTTCACAAAAACTCCAGAGACATCTGATAACTAAACATAACCTATATGGAGGAACCTGACATCTGGCATCTGCTTGAACGTGAAAGAAGCATAAACCCACTACTCACTCCTCTCGGTCAGCCCCTCTGCACTTCTGTAAGCTGTGCCCTTTTCCCTAGACTCACCGCCTTACAACCCAGGCAGCACGTCCCATCCCTCTAAAGCTCCTCTACAATACAGAACTGTCTGCTTTATCTCACAAACAATTCATGTGAAATAATGCTTCCAACATTCCTTCACAAAGTATCTCAGGTGGGTTATGTACCTTTCTGTAAAAGGTGACAATGTTCCTTGACCCATAGCTGAGGGACATCAAGGATCAGAAAGACAGTCAGCTGACCTTGTCCCCAGCTAGTAGGTCACTGATGCCCTTCCAAGAGGAGTTGTGAGGGGGGGGGTTTGTTCTTCATCTATCTAATTTGAGATCAAGATCCAGGCTTCTATATTTGTGTATGCCTCCATAAACCCAAGGCCACACACCATAGCAGCCAGCCGAAGAAACAATTAGAGGTATATTGTCAAAGACGTAGGTTTTCTGCTCCAACTGGGACTTGGCTCTGCCAGCTCTCAGATCCTTTTGGGAAGCTTAAGAAATAAAACACTCCTCCTCTCAGTGCTTCAACATAGAAGTTTAATATAAATCTAGTTGGAAGAAGAATACTAATGGACATGGGATGAAAGAAGCCAGACATTTCCTCTTTATGTCCTTGCCAGCTGTTTAGTAAGGGGAGCTGTATCAGGGCTTGACCTACAACTACTAGGAGCCTGGTGGCCACGTCAGCCCCCAGGGCAGAAATATCTCAGGCAGGGCTGGAATGCTTTCAGCTCACCTCCACTGTCGTTATAAGTGAAAACTCCCAGTCAAATGGGAGCTACAGGAAGCCACGCTTGCTGCACCGTCCAAGAATAAATCAAAAGCTTTAAATAGCAAGCTGTTAAAAATATAGCAGCAAGTCCTTAAAAATGAAATTCCTAACACTGTAACAGAATAAAGGATGAACAAGCATTGGGCTGTTCCTTAACCATTAGTGCACAAGCAAGAGAGAAATACACAAAGTCTCTCTAAGTCATGGGGACTTGGCATGTTGAAGATGACCTGGTGGGTGGACCAATGAATGACCAACTAAGCCCATTTTTGAGTCAATGTTCGTAAAAATTCAAGAGCATTTTTTTTAAAATAAGAGGAGTGTGGGAAGACCAAAACTCAGTGGAGGTAAGTGTATTGAGATTAAATGAACCTTATCAAGGGCCAGCAGAAGTTATGACGGTAAAAGGAGTTGCTATGTGTAGACAGTTGAACAGTACCTGGTGCAAAGCGCCCAGTCAGTGAATGCTAACTGGAATGGGTTTTATAGTGCCCCACCCCCTCCAACAACAAAAAAGTTATGTCCTATCCTAAACCCCAGTACTGTGAAACTGTGGAACAGACAAGACTCGTGAGAAAAGGGTCTTTGAAGATGTAACTAAGGGTCTCAAGATGAATTCATCTTGGACTATCCAAAACCCCAAAAAACAAACCAAAAAAACAGACCCAATGCTGTCGAGTCAGCTCTGACTCACAACGACACTACAAGGAGATCCTGAGACTATAAATCTATGAAAGCAGATAACCTCGGCTTTCTCCCAAAGAACGGCTGGTAGGTTTGAACTTCCAACCTTGTGTTCAATGCCTAACCCACAGTGCCACCAGAGCTCCTTTGGGATTACCCACGCTGAGTGTCCTTTGAGTAGACACAAAGAAGAGAAGGCAACGTGAAGAGAAAGCGAGAGAGACACAAGCCATATCACCATAAGCCAAGGACCTCAGAGCTGCCGGAAGCTGTAAAAGGAATGCCACCCTGCCAACACCTGGATTTCAGACTTTTGGTCTCCAGAATGTGCTGGCGATGCTGTGGGTTGAACACTGGGCTGCTAATGGTAAGGCTGACAGTTCAAACCCACCAAACTGCTCCTCAGGAAACAGATGAGGCTATCTGCTCCTGTAAACATTTATAGTCTTGGAAACCCTAGGGGGAGCTACTCCGTCCTGTAACATCTCTATGAGTTGGAATTGACTCCACAGAAGTGGACTTGGTTGGTTTGGTCCCCAGAACTGTGGGAGAATACATTTCTTTAGTGATGTTGTTGTTAAGTGCCATCAAGTCAGTTCCAACCCTGTATAAGGTTTCTGAGGAGCGGCTGGTGAATTTGAACTACTGACCTTGTGGTTCAAACTGACCTTGCAGTCCAGTGCATTATTCCACACTGTCACATTAGCCCCCCAATTGTGGTAATTTGTCATAGCAGCCCTAAGAAATGACTACAGTTCCTGTCGGTGTCATTGTTGTCCCTGTTCCTTTCTAACTGTATTTTCCCAAGACTGCTCCCTCCCGGCACACTGGGGTAGAGAAAGGTGTTGTCTTTACATCTGAGCTCCCAAGCACTCTAGGGATCAGGTGTGTGTGCAAGGAACTGTTGCGAAGAGGCAAGAGGAACACTTAGATTCTAGAATCTTCCAGAAAGTGCTTGCTGGTGACACACTATCTTTTTAACACAAGCCAGTATTCATGAAAATAAAAGGCAATGGCTAATGAAATTAAATTTGACAAGGAATGTCCTTCCATCCCTAAAATCGCCTTTTTGTTCAATAAATAAAAAAGTGTGTGTTCCAATAAACTTTTATTTACAAAAAAAAAAAAAACGCACACTGATCAAATTTGGCCTAAGTAGCAGAGTTTGACAATTTCTGCTCTACAACAACCAACATTCAAATATATAATAACACTTGTCTATACAAGTGTGAAGTAGCTCTGGCAGCGTAGTGGTTACTAACCTCAAGGTTACCTCAGGCTGCTAACCTCAAGGTCAGTAGTTTGAAACTAACAACTGTTCTTCAGGAGAAAGATGAGGCTTTCTGTTTCTGTAAAGATTTACAGCCTCAGAAACCCTATAGTAGGTCACTATGAGTTGGAACCGACTCCATGGAACACTACCACCATACAAGTAGGTGTAGGATAAGCACTGTAGGATAAGCACTAGACTTCAAACCCAGCAGCTACTCTTCAGAAACCCTATACAGAGTGGCTATGAGTTGGAACCAACTCAATGGCACGTTATCAACTACATACAGCTTATAAAGATTGACTTCTTTAGCTTAGTGTAAATAAAGCAAAAAATCCTCTGGACCGATAAATAATGTCATGATAAATGAAGTTGTCAAAGTCTGTATTTTGCTTGGATCCACTATCAACACTCCTGGAAGCGGTAATCAAGAAATCAAACAAGTTGCATTAGGCAAATCTGCACAAGACCTCTTTAAAGTGTTCTAAGAGCAAAGATACCAGTTTCAGGACTAAGGTGTACCTGAACCAAACCATGGTATTTTCAATCACCTCATAAGCATGTGAAAGTTGGACAATGAATAAGGGAGACAGTAGAAGAATTGATGCATTTGAGTTACGGTGTTGGAGAACAATGTTAAAAGTACCATGGATTGATTGCCAGAACGAGCAAATCTGTATTGAAAGAAGTAGAGTCATAATGCTCCTTAGAAGCCAGGATGGCCAGACTTCTCTGATACTTTGTATCAGGAAGGACATCATGCTTGGAAAAGTAGAAGGTCAATGAAAAAGAAGAAGACCCCCAACAAGACGGATTGGCACAGTGGCTGCGGCAGTGGGCTCAAGCATAACCACTGTGAGGATGGCCCAGGACCGGGCAGTATTTCCTTGTGGTGTGCACAGGGTCGCTATAAGTCGGAACCAACTTGATGGTACCCAACAACAACATACAGCTTGTACCTTTTTGGTCCTTCTCTGGTAGGCGAAGGCAATATCCTGTCTCTGCTCATTGCTGCGGTTGGTCAAAATGTTGACGATGGTGACTTCATCCACACCTATGGAAAGAGATCATTTGTGAATAGTCATCTGACTGTTTGCTGGAGTGTTTTGGTTCTAAGTAATTTTTCAACCTGAAATGTCTATTCTGTTTTCCAAACTGAGAGATCAGAACATGAAGATTTGTTCTTTTTGTCAGTACCCTCTCCCCAATATGTACACCTTCTTTTCCACCTCCACCCCCAACAATCTCAAACTTCAATCCTAAAGGGAACTTTTACATATTTGTATTTAAAAAGAAAAACTATTTTATTCATAAATTGGTTTCTAGAATCAACAGTAGGAGGTGCATTTGTGGGGCCTTGGCAGTCAAATGGAACCAGAAAGATTTAGTAGGATTTTAAATGAAGGTCCCCAAATTGCCATTTAAGTGGGATTTAATAGACAGTAACTGTGGACTGAATTAATAGAGATAATTATTTATATTTATTGCAGGAATACTGCTCTATAAGCAGCTAGGTATAATTTCTATAATTATAGAACTGTCATGACAAATGAGTCAGATTTAATATGGCAGTTGTATTTTAATAGCATAATTGATTAACACAATCATACTTATTGAAGACTAAATTGTTTTGTAGGGAAAATAAACGTTCCACTGCTTTTAATCTTCAATAGGCAATTTTAATAATCAATTTTACAACTTTATTAAAAAAGAATAAGTGTTTTAATCTAAATTAAATCTAAATTGGGAGTTCTGAACTGCCACCAAAATATTCGAGTACCTATTTTAATTGGAACATGTGTATTTACAAAGATAAGCAATGCCTTCTGGCATCTGGAAGTCTCCAATTCTAAGTCAGAAATGTTCTTACCATGCCATTTAACTTAAGAAAGCACAGTGTTTTGAATTCAGAGTGGGAAAGGCCTCTGAAAGCACTGACTATGAACTTTGTCTAATAAGAAGAAGAGGCTTTGCCAACACTAGATATGTAATTCTTAGGTGCACGAGCAGAGCTGCTAAGCCTACAAGTTCACACACAAAATGTGAACAACCTTTCTCCACAGACTCCTTAAGGAAATCAGAAAGCTCTGAGGTAGAAGAAAGGAAGAGATTGACAGAGGATATGGTCTGAATTCTCAAATGTGTCAGAAAGATCAAAAAACATAGTTAGAACTTCTGGGTATAAAAATAAAACAGCATTCCAAAGTTAACTGCAGCTTCATTATAACTCGAGCTCTGATGTTTAAAGCAGCCCATGCAAACCAAGGAGCCCAACTCAGAGACTATTCTGAAGATGCTTATTTCAGCACTGTATATAATATTCAAAAACACAGGGAAAATACATCCAGTGAAAAGACAATGGTTAAATAAATGTCCCTTTGTACATATAATGGGATACTAATACTATGCGGCCATTCAAAATGATGGTCCCAAAGTATTTATTGACATGGAAAAATGTGAATTCACAATCTACTGTGTGTAAAACTTCAAGTTGGAAAGCAGTCTGCACAATATATAACCTTGTGTCTCTTAAGCTATGTCTATGCAAAGATACGCATAGACATCTTGGCCTGAATAATGTAAGAGCGATCATCTAAGTGGTGGGCTTGTGACTGTTGTTAAGTGCCATCGAGTTGGTTTCGACTTATAGAGGTCTGATAAAGGGTTTCTGAGGAGAGGCTTATGAGCTTGACCTGCCAACCTTGTGGTTCAAACCAACTTTGAGGTTGAGTGCTTATCCTATGGCCTCACATCAGGGCTCCGAGTTGTGTGATTATGTATCATTTAAATTTTTTATATTATCCATACAGGGTCATTATGAGTCAGAACTGACTTGATGGTGCTTGTTAACAACAACAGAGATATTGTGGGTTTAGTTCCAGACCACCACAATAAAGTGATTCACAAACATTTTTTGGGGGTGTCCCACTACATGTTAAAGGACTTCTGGTGTGGCTATGTGGATCAGCACTGGATTATGAACCACAAGGTCAGCAGTTCAAACCCACCAGCTGCTCCTCAGAAATAGGGTTGAGTCAGAACAGATGCAACAGCACTTAACAACAACTACATATAAAAGTGACGTTCACACTATTCTGTAGGCTATTGAATGTGCAATAGCATTATGAAAAAGTTTGATATCTTGTGAGAAGGATCGACGTGCAGTGGGCATATGCTGTTGGAGAAATGGTGCCAACAGACTTGCTGGATACAGTGTTGCCACAAATCTTCAATTTACAAAAACAAACAACCCATGCAATTATCTGGGAAGGACAAATGAGGTACGCCTGTACTTTCCAACAAGTTAGTCTTCGTTTACCAGGGCCTCCCTCATCCCACACAGGAAATCATTCTCTTGCTGCTGTTAGTACACCCTTGGGACACTGACAGAAATAATCCACTTCTAACACCCACGTAGTTTTCACTTCAACATGGGCAAATAGATTTCTCCACAGACTCCTTAAGACTATGCGACGACATTCATTGACTTGGTGAGTACATGCCAACCCATGTTGTTGTTGTTGTTGTTAAGTGCCGTTGAGTTGGTTCCGACCCATAGTGACCCTGTATAGGGTTTCCAAGGAGCGGCTGGTGAGCTTGAACTGCCAGCCTTACAGTTCAAACAGACCCTGCAGTGCAGTGCATTGAACCACAGCTCCACACCAGGACATGCCCACCTATACACACACGTTAGCCCCTTTTCTCTCTGTCTGTCTCAAAAATTCTGATTCTAACTTTGTACTAAGAGTCCTGGTGGTACAGCATCTAAGCGCTTGGATGCTAACCAAAAGGTTGGCAGTTTGAACCCACCCAGCAGTTCCAAGGAAGAAAGTCTTGGAGATCTACTCCCATAAAGGTTGTTGTTTGTTGTTAAGTGCCGTTGAGTCGGTTCCGACCCATAGCGACCCTGTACATGGGTTTCCGAGGCTGTAAATCTTTACGGGAGCAGAACACCTCATCTTTCTCCCGCGGAGCGGCTGGTAGTTTCAAACTGCTGACCTTAAGGTTCGCAGCCCAATTCGTAACCACTATGCTACTAGAGCTCTTTCCCATAAATGTTACAGCCTAGAAAACTTTACGGGACCGTTCTGCTTTGTTATATGAGTTCACTATGAGTTAGAATTGACTTAACATTTAACAACTTTATATTAGAAAAACTACTGTTTATATAGGTGTGTCTGCCTTCGACTTAAACTCTTGTTACCCACATCTAGAAATGCTGAAGAACCTCAACAAAACACTCGTATGTCCTCTAATCACAATTCTATTATTTACTGAAATCAATTCAGGAACCACCGACTTGAGCACATACCAGGACCCATAAAATATGAGTCTCTTCTGGGAACACATGTAAAGTTGATGTTTGCACTAGAATGTGATCCCTGGCCAACTTGTATTAGAATCCCAAGGGCACTTACTGAAAATACAGTCCCTCTGAGCTCTACCTCAGACCTACTCATTAAGACTCTCTAGGGCTTGGAATCCCGGAAAAACCACAACAATGTCCTTCATGATTACTTGAAACCTTGAAACGCATACCTATGGGCGGGTCATGCAAAGGTTATTAGAAACCTGCCTACATACTTTCAACAACTGCTTCTGTAAGGCAAGGAGTCTACTACAGTATGAGGGAGAGAAACACCTACCTTTGCCCAAACATCCCAGGTAAGAAACAACACCTAACAAGAGCTCATTCCACACGCTGCAGTGAGATCCCAGGCTCTTTGTCAATGAGAAACATTTTGCCTTTCCTTCCATAACAGCTGAGATGTTCAGCGTGTAGCCAGCAGAGTCAGAATTCAATCCAATTACTAGAAATCCCCATAAAGCGCTTGGGTGGTTAACCTGAACCTCACCTAGGCGGCAGCAACAACTGTAGTCAAAAGGAATCTAAATGTATTTTACCTAAATTATTTACCAAGCAAACAGGCTGCTGAGGTACGGCATCTAATGTGCTGAGACTCTTTACAAGTGAACAATCTGATTCATCCCACACATGCTAATGTCAGTAACTACAGAGAAATGATGCAGAGGCCATTTCTGTATGTGGAATGCCTCAGAGAAGCTCTCTTGTATCAGCTGTTTCTCCCAAGACCATTATCTGTATTTTCAAACCTAACTGGAGGGGACAAAACCGTAGGACCCAGGATCAATTGCCTAGTCTAAGCCACTTAAGGCATAAATGTGTTCCTTCCCATGTTGTAATGCCAGGGTGCACAGATCGATCTGTCAGTGGAATAAAACCGTCTTATCTTCAGAACACTGCTGCTTCCTCTCGACCCACCACAACAATGGGTGAGGCAGTTTGTTCCTGTGGAAAATAGCTCAAGACAGGTGGAAGCTGCAAGGGCCACCTGGTTAGTCACCATTTCTGCCCAGGATGTAGCTGAAAGCTGAGGAAGGAACACTCAGCTATATATGTCAGCGGTAATACACTAGAAAAGCTCCGAATCTAATGTAGTTCTTGCCAGCAGGTCCAGACAACCCGGGAGACAAGGCTCTCTAAATTTGTCCTTTCAGGCCATTCTATGGTCAGGGATGGAGTGACCCCTGGGTGGGGCAAAAGCATAGAGTAGAGAACAAACCTAAGTAATGCTTCCTTTGCCTTTCCTAATCCATTCTCTTCTGTTGAATGCAGAGAGCAATGTAAGCAAAGGCCTACGTTAGGGAAGAGTGATGGGGAGAAAAGGGGAGCTCGCAGACTGTAGGTGAGAGCACAGCAAATTCGCTTATACAGGCAAATTTTTCAATTTTTCTTTTAAATACAAATTGAAGTTAAAGTTTTCAAGATTGCTGAGGAACTGAGAAAATTTATTTGGCTCCTGGGTGGGATAATGGTTTGCGCTTGACTACTAACCTTGGCTTTGAACCACGGAAGAAAGGTCTGGCAATCTGTTTCCATAAAAGCTCTACTCTACACACGAGGGCTCCAGCAGTCAGAATCCTTTCAATGGCACTGGGTTTGGTCTGGGTTTATGGAAAGCAACTCCATGAAATTCTGAAGCATTTGCTCCTTGAATGAACAAAGACAGCTAGCTAGTCTAATTAGAAAGG